GGCCGCACGGGCGACGTGCCTTGTGCTTGGCCGGCCACATAGGCACCATACCGAGTCATACGGGCGAGAGGTCGGTTCACGGCCAAACACGCACATCGGCCCGGGAATGGCACGACGCACGACTCATGGCCACATGTCTTGGACACGGGACAAGATCGGGACCGGATCTTACGGGCACGACTTGTGGCACGAGGGTCGAGCACAATGGCAGGCGCACGACCGAGCACGTAGTCGGTCCGTGGCCTGGCTGACGGGCACAATGGCCGGTCATGGCCGGGCACATGGCCTTGGCCGCCGCGACCGGCAATTTTGTTCGGGCCGCGACTAAGCCATTAGGCACATGACCTGGTACACATCTCGTCCATGGCCTTCCCGACTTGGCACAACGATCCGTGGCCGATTCGCGATCGGGCCACGTTCGAGTATCAACTATCCATAGTCGACCCTCGGTTGTCAAGTAGCCTCGTGAAAATCCGGTACCCCGGAATGAACTCGTGGTCACCCTGGACTAATGCATGGCCGTGCGGTATCACCCGCGATCGACATATGCCGACACCGGACTGATCCACAATTATCCCGGACCGCTCCACTAACGGCCCTTATGGTCGAAGGATCACCCCATGGTCATATCACTCTAATCATTTGCGTAGTCAGGGGTCATTCCACTGTCGATCCCTAGGCCAACTCATGGACAATCTTTCGATCGAACCACAACCAACCCTCAGTACACTCATTCCGATCATGCTGTCCATTCCAATATCGACCCTCGACTCGACTTACCCGCTAATCCACTTATTACCAGCCCTCGGCTTCTTAGGCCCGAAATCGGGGATGTCACATTAGGTGAAGGTATCGGGCTTCTACTGCGCATTCCCAACAAATGGTATCAGAGCCAATGGTTGATTGGTGGGCCCCCAATCTGTTCCGATATTTGGTGAATATCTCAACAAAGAAATCTCATAATCGACGCTTGTTTCGAGTGGAAATTGCCATCACGATTGGTCTGGCGAGAAGTAACTATGGATAGTTGGTCTGGTGACGCGAAATAGAGACTATGGGTGATGCAATCCCAAGTTAGCAGTTGATGATGGTTGTTGTGCATAGTTGCGGGTGCATTGCAATGACTTAGAGATGTTAAGATAAGCCGATGCAAAAGAATACCTAAATTAAGAGGGAGCAAACCTAGCACTGAGCTTACATGTGAAGGGAAGATTATTGAGATACACATGTGGGTTGTATTAGAGAAGTCTCACATTGAATAATTGATATGGTATTGAGCAGTTAATATATCCTAATTGGCCCATAATTCAATGGTTTAAACTTTTGAATGAAGGTGGGACTTGAGCCCCCTCTTGACGATCTCCCCAAGTGAAGGTATTGGGCTTCTGCTGCGAATTCCTAACACATGAGTGGCACGGGATGCTCAAATAGCTCTGGATGAACCACCGATAGTAATTGGTGAAGCCAAGGAACGACCGTAGTTCCGTTGCCTTGGTTGGCGGCTCCCACTTCGTAATGGCTTGGATCTTGGCCGAATCCATGCACACTTGTCCACTCCCAATAATGTGGCCCGGGAACGGCACTTCAAGCTGTGCAAAGCACACTTCTCGCGCTTAACATACAAGTCACTCTCCTGCAGTTCTTGGAAGACCTGCTTGAGATGCTCGATGTGCTCCTCGAATATCCAGCTATATGCCACAATATCATCTAGGTAAACCACAACAAATCAATCAAGTAATGGGAGGAGTACCTTGGTCATTAGGATGCAGAAAGTGGCCAGAGCATTAGTCAAACCACAAGGCATGACGAGGAACTCGTATGAACCGTATCGCATCATACATGTGGTCTTTGGCTCATCTCCCTCAGCAATTCACACTTGATAGAATCTCAATCACAAATCAAGCTTTGTGAACCACTGCGCACCACTCAGTTGGTCGACAAATGGGTGATGAGAGGGATCAGGTAATTGTTCTTTATCGTTAGCTTGTTCATGCCCGATAGTCGATGCACATACAGAGCAATCCGTCATGTTTCTTTTGGAATATGACAAGGGCACTAAATGGAGCCTCAAGGTTGGTTGTAGCCGACATTAAGCAACTCCTTGAGTTTGACAGAATTCGACATCTTTGTTTGCTATAAGTAATGGGATTAGCTGAATAAGGTATCAAAAGAACTACGGCATCTAGTCCGCGTCTAGTCCTCTCTTTCAACACTAGCAATCTTATAATCTCCGAAGGCTGAACTATATAGATCACGATTAGAAATTCTTCACGGATGCTGCAATTGGTACCTCTCATTTAAATAACATCACTTTCCCCCTCAGTACCAATCAGTTTGATTCTTTCACATAGTGGCTTCAATCAATTTTAGTGGTTGCGAATCTTTGACTTCTCATTCATAGATACGCTGAACACGATGGCAATTCTTCGTTAGATCGATTGCCAAACACCAAAGACAACTTTCCATGCAGAACTTAATCTTCATATGGTTGCTGATTCTGTGACATCAATGTCTGCAGTTTCATGATTCTTTCCTAGTAAGATCAGCATTCATTCAATTGCTTAATCACGAAAATTCTTTCTTTGACGTAGGTTGAACGAAAGTTCTTAAACTTGATTAAGAAGTTTCCTTGTGCCGAGTCTTCTTTTCCATGCATAAAATTCGTGCACCATCACTTCCCATATCGTCTACAGCACTTTATATTTTATATTTCCTTGCATCCAATCAGACAAACACGACAGGACTTAAATATGTAGCTTTGTTATCGTCAAAATCATCGAGTAAGAGATTTAGCAACAAGAATTTCCATTGTTTGATGAAACTCACAACGTAAAGAAAGTAAGACAAGGAAATAAACACAAATATACAGCAGTGCAGCGAGCGATAGATAACCACAAATTCAACTTAAAAGCTCACAAGCCTAACTATAGAGAAAAATCTCTAATTTTGTATTCTGTAAAATATGACGAAAGTCATATGATACATCGAAAAGATCAAATAAATACCTTTTTAACCTGTGTGACACTGAAATATCATAAGCTAGCCATAATCATGATAAGAATTCGGAAAAACAAACAAAAGCCTGATATAAAGAGGAAAAACAAACAACCGCATCGGCGTCATTCCTCTCCACTTGGGAAAAACTCGTCCTCTAGTTTCAAGCAACAAGTTCGATTTAGAATGCAAACGCAGGGTCGCAGTTCTCCCTGGTCCTTTACAGGACAAAAGGTGGATGTTGGGGAGATGATCGAGCTCAACTGTCCTTCAAGACAGGAAAGACTGGGCAAGACAGATCCAGACTAGGTTTCCTTGTTTGTTATTTATAACAAAGAAACAAATACTTAAATAAGTTGACAACATACATCTGCTATATATTTTGAACATAGTAAGAGTCATAAAGTACTACAAAAACCCCATGTTTTAGGTGAAAATTACCAAAAAAAAGTGCTAAACCTATTACAATTGTACCAATTCAATCTTAAATATTTTTTTGCGCCAATTGAGTCCTAAACCTTTTGTATTTATACCAATTCAGTCCATACGGCCATTTTGGGTCGCCTCGCCAATGGCCGGCGAGGTCGACTTGGCCGGCCATCGCCTTTGGCCGGTCGCCTCTGCCGGACCAAGGAAGAAGTAAGGAAAAAAAAAAGGTAAAAGAAAGAAATAATTAAAAATTCAAAAAAATATTAAAATATCATTAAAAATTGTCCACGTCAGCGCCGGTCGTGCCACGTCAGTGCTGGCTAGCCAAAATTGGCTGGATAGACTGAATTGGTACAAATGCAAAAGATTTAGGACTGAATTGGCAAAATTACAATAGGTTTAGGATTTTTTTGGTAATTTTCCCCATGTTTTAGGGAAAACAATTAGAGAGTGGATTTTCAACTCCAGAGAAACACAAACCGTGACAAGGCGTGAGCTGATAAGTTAAACCACCAAATAAAGGTCGGATACGAGCGTACTTGATTGAGGTATCAGAAATCTCTGCACGTCGTCCTTCGTTGTATCTATTTGGAGCGATAGACCAACTCCTCTTCGACCATGTTCCTCCAGTTTCTTGTTCATCTTGGGTACTCTTAATTGCACAAGAACAAGAAAACGTAGCTTTTATTAAAATATATAGAGGACAAACAATGTTGCTAGTTGTGTGGATGAAGTGTTTAGGCGATTCTTATGACAGAATATCATGCCTTCGTCTAGTCTTAGTGTACAAGGCATATAATTTTGTCGAATTGCCACATGACCGAATCAATCGGGAAAGGGCTATATGAATAGTTGACAAGTACTGCTCGAAATTTTAAACATCTAGTGTCAATTGGAGTTTGCAATCCTTTGAGTATGCATGCTTGGTTTGTTTATTGAAAATTTACAATAAACGAGAGTTTCGATTCATTGAAATTTGGCCAATTACATCTTTTTCGTTTTGTATTTGTAACAAGCTTCTTCTTAATATTTCTAATAATTTCAGATGCAGAATTTCTTTGTTATTTAAGAAAATTGAACCTAACTGAGTCTCAATAAAAGGTGGAGGTCGGGAAAGAGGAGAGCGATCCCAAACTGCCCTAATTTCTGAGGGAAGTTTCCGCTCTTCCAAGCCAGGCACAGGACTGCGCGGCCCAAGGGTTGGTTCGATTCAAGTGAAGGACAACGACACATTCCGCACCCGACCGAACTGATTCCTCATGTAACAGGTTGATCCCGCTCTCCAGACCCCTCCGGAACCGACTTAATGCCCACACCCGGGTCACAAGCTCCAGTTACGGAGCTCGGCAATTTTTGATCTATCTATAGACTATAGTAAAGCGTCCGCTGAAGACACATTCTGTCGGTATAGGAGTTTGGACAAGCATACACCAAAGCCAAAAAGCGAGTGCTCTTCTTCTCACCCGTGCCCAATTTGTTGCGTTTGTAACCCCAGTCCTTGTTCGTTCACATCGAAGAAAGAATCCCACACACCCACACAAATAAATAAGTGGAAGACAGCACAAAAAATTACCAGCTTTACATGAAATTCTGTATTCCTCCGGCATCTGCAAGTCCAGTAAATGCAGCAAAAACTTCTAGCCTTTCACTAGATCGTTCGGGTTTTCAAGAAACATGAGTTGTTTTGACGATGCTATAATGGACAAAGAAAGATATCTTGGGGGAAACAATTGCAAGAGTGGATTCCTAGTTCCGGAGAAACGCAACTGTGGCGACGCGTGACCCGACTGACCCACCAAACATGAAGGTCTGATACGAGCGAACATGGTTGATGTATCTAAAGGGAGGATCTCTGCACGTGTCATTGTCCTTTGCCTCTAGTTCCAACAGTTGACGACCTCCCCTTTGATTATAGTTCTCCACTTCTCGGACCAGTTCATCTTTGGTGCTGTTACACGAGGTGATGACCTATCATCACCAGGCATGGGGACAAAAAAGATAAGTTAACTTTCATCAGTACATATTTCTATGTGCAAAATTAACAACAAAATTAGCTATATGGCAGAGAAAACCATAAGTAATGATCAGCATGAACAGAAACCATGGTGTTCTAAGTGGAACTGTTAACTTGAAGATCCCTGTTTACGAAGGATAGGGATAACAGGACCTTTTAGTTGAAAAATATTCAATGAAACTAGAAGTACAGAACTACATAGGTAACAGATTCAGGACATTACCAACAACCCACCAGGAGCCACCAATCTTGAAACAGAATCCCAGTACATAATCCTGAAAACGAAGCATGTATTCAGATCTTAATAGGGAATCAACATACAAGTATATGTCAACTCTACATGAAACACAAAGGAATGTCAAAGTATTTTGCTGCTTACCTTTTAATATTGCCATCAGGATGCAATCCAATGGCATCTAGTGTGCCTTTGTCCACGACAAGCTGAAACTGCTGATCCAGCTTTGTTTCAAGAATATCATCAACCTAAAGCCAAAAGAGAGGAAAATGAATACAAAAATGACACAATGCTAATTAAATGCCTCGGTAATGCTCCATGCCCATCCTATTAGAGAAACTACCTTTAAAAATTTCTGCAACTTGTTGCATAAATAAGTCACAGACTGAGCCATGTATTGCTGTACCCGTTTCAAGTACAACCAGACAACATAAAAAACAACTCAATATAAGACAAACAAGAGAGAATAAAAGAAACATAAGCAAATTGCAGAGCATGATGAGGCTATGGAGCAATGGTTTCTTGGGAAAGAGCTTGGCATAGTCCTGGAAGCCCAAGCACATACCAGGGCCCCTCATGCAAAATAACCCAGGTAATTCGAAGAAGAGTTGATCAAACCATTCAAAAGACTCTTCAGGCTAATATCTGCCTTTTGGCTAAATAGTTTGCTGCCACATGAAAGGATATGGAAAACAGAGAACAACAAAGATATAATTATAACTTTACCAAAAAAAAAAGATATAATTATAATGGGTAGTCAATCCATGTGATGTAGTATTACTCAACTGTCTTCTTGCTTTGATAGTAGTACCTACTTAGTTCCTCTTTATCAATTATAGGCAACATTGCAATCACCACCCATACATTTGAAAATCAACTATTGCACCAAAACTAATGAATAAATGGATTAGAGATCTTCAAAAGGGGGATCCAAAAATATGAACCTCAGTATATACAAATTAACCCATCAAGTAGTCGACATCTACAAGAAGCAGGATACCATCCATTTCACTTGGGCAAGGAAAGGAGAAAAAGAAACTACAGTGGGAACTCAAATTGTATGTCCAAAGAGTTTTGTGACTGTCATACCAAAAATTTAATATTGGGAAATCCATCCCGAACAGCCAACCTCCGAGCTAGGTCAATTGCCCCGTCACTATAATCAACTCCAGTCAAGTCAGAAAACCTGAAAAGGAGGAAGACAGATTAAGTCTTGGTCAAGGATCTAGGGTTAATAATCCAGGCAAACTCCCTGTCCTGAATGCATACCCCTGCTTAGCAAGCTCCTGAAGAAGCAAACCGTTGCCTGTTCCTATGTCAAGTACGCTCCAGCCACATAAATGTTTATCTCCTTCTTCAGCGGATTCATATTTGACATCATCAGCATCAGTTGGCAAGTGACCTTGGGCAATTTGAATGCAGAGATTTGTGGTCCAAGTAACTACTACATCCATAACATCTGCACCAAACCTTCAACATACCCAGCTAGTCAAACAAATTAATTTGGAAGAAAAAAAGGAGGATTTTATGTCATAAAAATCTTCAATTACCTACCTCATCATTTGTTCACTACTTAGCATTATAAATGAACTTGTGAAGCATTTGCAATTTTAGGATTGGTTGTTATACATAAATGCTTTGACTTAGAACATTAAATTCTAGGAATACAATGAAGAACTGCCTAAATACAACACCATGTAGTTCCAGGCATTGCCACCATTACAACAAACTACAACGCAAGGGGAAAAAGATACATGAGCCCAATTACAGTTTCTCTCTGACATACTAAGAAATACGCCATCATTAAACTTTCTTCCGAGTTCAAAGTTATGAGTGAGCACCAATATAACATCAATCCCCCTAATAGATAATGTTTGGGGTTAATCAATTTTCTCCATCCAAGTTTACCATATAAGGTTATTGTCAGTACAAATATTAAGTAAATACAAATGACTATTCGCTCAAAGTATGAAAGAAAAGAGAATGTGTTCTGCACTTTTAAGTACAAGAAATGCTCACCAAACTTCACCCACATGACCATGCTCACGGAAGTTCGTCAATTCATCTGCATACGCAGCATCCCAATAGCTCTGAAGACCAAGCATTGAGCTTACCCCATCAGCATCGGGTTCTTCCTTGTCCGAACTGTTAGCACACGTCCAAGATAGTTAGCATTCCACATTCGAAGATTTTCATATATGTTGTTGCTGAATGGAGTATAAACTAGTAGAAACAAAAAAAAAAGGCAAAACTAATTCAAAGTAAAGCTACCAATTAGCTCATTTCTATACAATAGTACCAAGAAAACGGAAAACTTTTAGTCAAAGTAGAGCTATCAATTAGCTCATTTTGCAACTTTTCAAGAAGCAGTCAAACAATCCTCTCTTCTTCAAGAATCAATATTGGGAGCCCTACACTGCCAATCATCTACTCCTTGGGTGAACACCAGTCATTTACCTCCAGTTTATAACTGCAGAGCCGCATTCAAACAAGATATTGATCGTACCAAGAAAAGAATTCATTCAAACTGACATTAACCAGAGAAGGTACAGCCCTCCAGCCAGTAATTTCCACGGAAAGATTTCAAACTAAGTCAGCATTGCGTTTATACATAGGCTCCACAAATTTCGCACCTTGCAAATTCTGAGTAGCCGGTGGACCAGATGTTGGCCCTCCCTCGCATGCCCTTACAATTATTATTTTTTTTTTTCGTATTCACCTCCGAGGAAGCATCTCAGAGGTTTTTCCTTTTGGGTGCAAATCTCAGTTTAGTCTCACACCAATTCATAGAGGAAACTCGCATACATGAGAAATGCATAAATTCCGCAAATTTAAGCATCATACAGACATTAACGCGGAACTCATATAACTATCTACCCCAAATTGACAACTGAGGTTAGGTTAAAGAGAAAAGGAGTTTGTGCAGAGTGCCATCATAAAAAACTACGAACCCATCTCCAGCAGCCGCAAATCCACCCGAAATCGTCAGTTTCGCGGCAACACAGTCCGATTCACTAGCTCAACGCTAATTCAACAAGTCAAGAGCCACTTCGATCATCAACACGTAGAGCAGCCAACATTTCCACAGGACATCTGATAGCCCCCAAAACGATACGGGAAGAAAAAGGAGCAGCGAAAAGGCCCGGAAACGAAACACGGAGCGCGAAGAGGGGAAGGAGGAAGAGCGCGAGACCTGTAATCGGAGGCGGCGGCGCGGAAGTTGCCGGAGGTGAGGAGGGCCTCGGCGGCGTCGGCGTGGCGCTGGTCGTCATCGAGGGTGCTGCCGTACTCGCTCTTGATCGACCAGGAGTCCGCCGCCACCGAGCGGTCGTCGTCGGACACGAGATCGACCGACGCCGGGCCGGGCCGGGCCGGCTGGGGCGGCGGCGGCTCGGGGTCCTCCGGCGGCGATCTGATGCCGGCCATCCGATGCTCGCTCTCTCTCTCTCTCTCTCTCTCTCTCTCTCTTCCTCGGACTGTTGTATTACTCGTGGGGGTTTTGGACATTTTTGAACCTGCGAGTACGAGATTTGGATCCACGTTCTCAGAGATCCGGTCCGGTCCGGTCCGATCCGGCGGTGCTGACTCAGCGGACCGGACCGGACCGGTTCGGGCCGGAGCCTGGTAGAAGCTTGGGACCCGCACGGCCATCTCGAGGGCGTAATTGAACCGAGCCGAGGCGGAGAAGAAAAAATAATCACTTTAATAATCGAGTCAAAATCTCGAGCTTATCAAGTATTTTTGTCACGTCCATTGCTGATCTGATAGACCAAAGTAAAAAAAGCGCATATTCAAATTTATTTGAGTTGTGGCGACAAAGAAAATCTGCTTTGATGACCCATGTTCTTAGGGTTAGGCGATAATAAGCACATTGAACTGTCATGTGGTTTTGACCAAAGAAAAAACTATCATGTGGTTGAGAGCACTCACAAATTAGGCACAGCAGACGAGATTATCAAGGGACCACTTGGCTAATAGTGGATCACATTGGCCTCCTCTTCAGGCTCTGTAATAATCTGGTCCAATGAGAGCAGGGAGTGATCGTCGGGCCAAAGAGCCTAAATAAGGAGCGGCTCCTGGTAGGCTTTTAGGATGGTGAAAGGGGTAGGAATGAACCGAATTATGTATCAAATATAAGGAGAATAATTCTAATGTACGTGTGTTTATGTGTAAAAAACTAGAATTAACTCACAGAAGCATTTTTTGACGTAACGGCAAACTTTGCTTTGAAATTCCAAAGTTGAGCAAGCCCAAGCTAGGGCACAACCAAAATGAGTGACCTTCTGGGAAAGTGAACGCATATACGCTAAAGGACAAAACTGTGAGGTTTGGTATGAGACTGGCCAAAGTAAGCAACATCTCGAATGAGTTAATTCAAGGATGTCGTAAACTCGCTATGTCAAAAGTGAGAGAAATCCCATCTCCCTCGAACCCTTTTTCGCCCCATGTCGCCACGAGCATAGGACTTCAAAAAAAGGATCCTATCAACTCATCTTGACCCCGGAACAAATCATGCGGTCCGTGCAATCGTACACATGGTGGAAAATTTTAGACATTAGATTGGTCCATGCTTGCTAAAGAAAAGCTCGTTTATAATAGTATTTCAAGATTTCGTCATTGAGAAAATCACTTTCCATTTCCAAGATAATAGTATTTTTGCTTGGAGATGCGTATACGCATGTATAAGTACAATGAAAGATATAACCAAAGTGTCCCCCAATAAAAGGGAGCAATGATGCGGATGAGAACCATTATATTTTTTTGTCTTAGCAAGCGAAGGACGGCGTGTCATTTTCCAGCAATGCCAAGCCATGAAAATGGCCATGATAAACTTTATTCATTGCTTGATCATGGGTTAATCGTCTCCCTTTTGTCCATGAAATGTCTTGTCTTATATCATCCACATTCATTATTCACATCACCATCAACCTCAAAAAGGGAGATCTTATTTATGAGGTTGGGGGACAAGCGCATTAAAAGCCCTAAAAATATCACGAAAGTACAATCAAGTCCTTAAAATTGTCGCAAAAATGTAATCAAGTCTTAAAATTTATTTAGTTGGTGCAATCAAATTCTAAAACTTGTTAACATTTCCCTTTTGTGAAGTTAGAATGACTTGATTGCACTAACTTGATAGGTTTTAGAACTTGATTGCACCAACTTGACAAGTTTTAGGAATTGATTGTAGTTTTTGAAAGTTTTAGAACTTGATTATATTTTTGTAACAAGTTTTAGGACTTGGTTACACTTTTTTAATATTTTAGGATCCTATTACACTTTTATGATAAATTTTAAGACTTTCGATATACTTATCATTGATGGGTTTGCAACATGTTTAACCAAGAAGTCAAGGGAACATGGCTAAAAGTCAAAAGCCTTTTGTTAACATTAGTTGTGGCGGCGTACTTGCACGAAATTGAGATTCCCATCCCTATATAGTATTAAATCTTGGGATAAGTGTATTAAAAGTCCTTAAACTTGTCATGAAAGTGCAATTGAATTTCAAAACTTTCAAAAAGTGCAATCAAGTCTTAAAACTTATCACGAAAGTGCGATCAAGTCCTAAAACTTTTGAAAAGTGTACTCAAGTCATAAAACATATCACGAAAGTTCAATTGAGTCCTAAAACTTTCGAAAAGTGCAATCACAAGAATGACTTGATTGGATCAATTTAATAAGTTTTAAGACTTAATTGCACTTTTTGAAGTTTTAAGACTCATCGTACTTTCATTATAAGTTATATAACTTAATTGTACTTTTCGAAATTTTTAAGGCACAACAACACTTTCTCGACAAGCTTGACAACTTCTGATTCACTTATCCCTTTAAATCTTTATGAATTGCTTTTAGTGACTATGCGAGAAGCCAAGGGAACATGGCTAAAAGTCAAAGCCATTTGCTAAACTAATAGTTGTGGCGACGGACTCGCTCGAAATTGAGATCCCCGTCCGACAGTATTAAATCTTTTGTGAATTGCTTTTAGCGACGAAGCCAAGGCCGTTCCTAGAAGTCCGCCAGCCCATTCTTAAAGTAAAAGGGCTCTAGGGACAATCGACCGTAATGCAGCCTCCATTATTGGGGTATTCACCTTGGTCTATGCACGTTGGTCTCTCGCCCGAGACGTGCTCTATTCAGCGGCCTTCTTTGAGAGGACTTGGTATATGCTATTCCACTTGTGGACTAACTAATCATATTTTAGCAGGACAATGATACAAATGGTCCCTGAATTTTGATCCAATGTATAATGTGATCCATGAACTTTTAACCTGTTTAGTGTGGTCCCTAAACTTTAGCCTAATGTCCAATGTTGTCCCTAAACTTTTTTTTTGTTCAATATAGTCTCTCGACTTTTGGTACATGTCCAATATAGTCCATGAACTATATGAAAATGTTTAATGCAGTCCCTGATCTTGAATTAAGAAAATGACTCTATTGAACTATTTTCATATAATTCGGATACTAAATTAAACATGTACCATAAGTTCAGGGAACAAATTAAATATTCAGGGATCACATTGAATAAATTTAAAATTTAGAGATCACATTATATATTGAGTCAAAGTTCATGGACTATTTATTTTGTTTTCCCTATTTTAGCTGAGAGTGAGAGGCCTGTGCACAAGGATGATAGCTTCTGTTAGACCGTCCAATGGACAACGCAAACAAACAGATGGACTTGTCATATAAGAGTATCTGTTCACATCAAACGCAGTACACTCCGGAATCAAGCGACTGTGCGCTTCAGGAGGATGAACAGTTCGCCGGGTGACTTGTACCCGGGGTCCGATAGCATGGAAGACTCTTCGATCTTCTTCTCGAACCGGTCAAATAACCCGTCCACTATCTCGGCCCCGAAATGCTCCTTGATGAGCCCCTCCAGGAGCGCCCTGAAGTACGAGGTGACCATGGACAGCCGCTCTGTGATGTTCCCTCTGTTGATCTTGGGCCGATCAAGCAGCTCGATCCTCTCGATGCTGAACGAACCGTTTCTCTTTATGACTGCTTCCAGCTCTTGCTGACTAGCATAGTATCTGGGGAGGTTGAAAGAGTCCACATCGTTTTCACTTAGCAACCCCTAAAGCCAAGAAAACAAGTAAGATTGATCATTGAACGCAAATTCGAAATGAACTCGAGACATTCCATAGAGATGGCCTCAATGTACTCAACTTTCTGACCAATGTCAATGGAAGGCGCAGACTCGGAAGCAGATTTCGTACCTCAATGGCCATGTCGATGAGGCAGGAACCTAGGACTCCACCCATTGCTATGAGCGTGCATTGCTGGGCAGTTGTCCCGTACAAGAGGCACGGAACGACAAGGGCCATAAGCCCTCCGCACATGAGCTCTTGCTCTCTGGCTCCGAGGAAACGCTCCAAGTCTCTTGCAAATTGAGCTGCGTACGCCTCATGGACCTCTGGAGGGCCGTATGCATAGTCGATCCTTCCCTTGTTCCATGCAGGCGAGTCCTTGTCCACCACTTCTTTCGGCACTTCTGTGAGCCAGTGCAGGGCGTAGGAGCAGTGGATAATGTGAATCGAAGCCTTGGGAAATAGGCGGCCATGAAATCCTCCGGGGACGCCAGCCACAAAGTAGTGCCGGTCACAGGGAATCAATTTGAAGAGGGTGTTGAAGTCGTTGGAAGTGAAGTCGTTGAAGAACACTTGGAACTCGGTGGTCTCAGAACTGAGGCCATCAGAACTGAACTTGACTTCAAGGGATTCAATAATGTTCTGCACCGCAATGAAGGTGTTGGGCCCGACGGAGCAGCCTAAATCTGCGATGCAGAATGTGGTTGAGGCTGCCAAAGGAGAAACGAATCGTTTGGTATCGAGCTTCTCGGCGATGGACTCTTTGATCAAGGCCTTGGCGGCTTCTACTCCCCATTTCTGCAAAATTTCTACTCTTGATCATAATCCTGGTCAGTAAACACTCTAATCGAAAAGAATTAGTTCTTAATAGGGCATCAGGAACTTTGATGGTTGAACATAAAGAAGACACATAAGATGATTATTAGCCTGATAAAGGATGTCATCCAGAGAAAACAAAGCTGGAAAACATTGCCATAAAGGTGAAGAAACACATAAAGCTGCAGGTGAAATATGTTGGCCAGAATGCACTGCCTGAAAGGTGGAGTTGCGGGTGTAACTGTACAAGCCATCTCCTCCATTCGCCGGAAGTGATCGAGTTGGTACACAGGCCATCTCTCTCTCTCTCTCTCTCTCTCTCTCTCTCTCTCTCTCTCTCTCACATGTGGACACACACAAGGGCACTTTCCACTGGACCTGCTATATTAGGTCTGTCATGATATATAAGCCAAACTGCATTTTAGGCTCCGAAGTAACCGAGGCTGATTGCTCAAGTTGAATGAAAAATGAAAAAGATCGTTAAAAGATACTTGTTAATTGATTTAAAAAAATGAGCAGAAGTAGTTAATTCCTAAGGCCGGCCAACAATCCTTCAGTACAACTCACACTTTCTTGGCTGACAGTAACCTATGTCCGGACACTTGCATTCACCTTCTCCTTCTGATTATAAAAATAGGGTGAAATATACCAAACCATTGAACTATTTAGGCATTCCTGTCTTTTAGTTGGTGAGAATCAAGATCATCAGATTCCAGACCTAGACCAGGTGAGCAAAAGTGATGTACCTTCTGATATTGCTGCACATTCCAAATCCCACAAACCTTATGATGGATCTTACATGTTTCTGAACCAAAAAATATATATCAACTCTGCTTCAAACTCCGCTTCTGAATTCGGCAGATTGACTAGTTTTTCGCAGTTTGAGTTTCTTTCTTAAGATAAAACAACTGTACATTCCTCATTTGATCTGTATTAAAAGAGAGATGGGGATGATAATTGTTTGCAGAAAGGTCGTCCAAATATTAGAGCCCACTTTTCAGTAAATCCCTTCCTCTAGAACCAAAAAAATTATCAGGAACTTTGGCCCTATACAAATTTCTATGCTACCAGAATAAATGAGCATTTGCATCTCTAATTAGACCTATTTCTTCTTTTCGTTTCATCAGTTTCCTCAATAAACTGCAAAGCACATTACTTGAAAATAATACTAAATGCTTGGATCATAATTCAACTCCTAATTACACTGACCAAAAGAAATCTTAATTAGATATATACTCCTTTTCCCGCAATTAGATTGGGATTTTCCCACCAAATCTGGTTGGAGACTCAATCCTCGCTGGCTCTTAACTCGAGTTATGGACTGTACTGGACTATGAATATGGCCTTTAAAGCTCACAACAGTCTTACAAATAGTACCATTACTCATCATCTTGCCCTAGGAGCTCAAAGAAACTCAATAAAGTTCAACAATAGATGAATAATTCTGAAAGTTGGCATCAATTGAAAACAGACAAGAACAAGGGAATTGGCCGTTAAGCCCTATACTTCTTTCATAGGTGTAACCGCTGGTTTCCGCTTTGTCATTTAAGTAACAGCTATCCATTCAGCAGACTACTATTACTAGGCCAAACTTCTTCGCTGATGTGCTCAGAAATTAGATTCTTACCAACAGGGTAAGTGGCACATTGTTGCTCACACATGAATCACAGGATAGCAAAGGACCAAGAAGAAATTTTAAATGCAGTTTCTCTCTTCCTTTCACGTGATAGTTAATTTCTATGTTCTTGCTGGACACACCTAAACAAGGGAAATTCTCATGCTATACAGGGAAGCTGTGAAGTTTTGTTGAGATCAAGATGATGGGTCAGTTGCGGCATGAAGAATCTACTGATGACTTTGACATGCAACTTATTGGAAACTTTCTGAGCTTTGCTTCGAGGGGTGATAGAGTAGGCTTGAACCAGATGCTCAGGAAAGGCATATCTCCTAACGTCCAAGACTATGATAAGAGGACTGCTTTACATCTCGCAGCGAGTGAGGGCCACGCTCCTATCGTTGAGCTTCTTCTTCTTTACAAGGCTGATGTTAACCTTCAAGATCGATGGAGCCGCACTGTAAGCTTCTATCTAGCGCATCATCTCTTGTTGATAACTGATTTGTTTGTTGTTTTCTTTTTCTGAAGATATCGTGCTTGAAGTTAAAAACCATCATGTGTCTATTTTATGTTCTTTATCAGACTAAAACTCTATGATTTTCTTACCTGAAGCCCTTGACTGATGCGAGAAGTTATGGACACCGAGATATTTGCAGGATCCTGGAAGTGAATGGCGGCATAGATTTCAAAAACGATCAACCAATGGTAACTAGCTTAATCTCTACAGTAAAGTTAGTTCATAAAAAATATTTTCAATGTGGACTTTATTACTTTGTTGAGCCAAGTCCTCTAAGCAATGTGCCCGAACATGGTTGATATCTCCAAAGAGTACCCTGTTAGCTTTTATTAGAGAAAATGGATGCAATGAATGCATCTAACCCCGTAATTTCCATTTTGCAGACGGTTCGACATGAATCTGATTTGAATGAAGTGAATATCGATATCACAGAACTTAATCTTCTGCATCCTTCTATTGTCAAACAGGTAGGAGCCTCCATGAACAGATGTAAGAGGTATCTAAAGAGGCCATGTTCAGTACTTTATCAAGCATATAAATCACGTCTGAGATTAGCTAAATCACATTAACTATATTACATGGCAAAACTACCGACAGAGTGTGAGTAAATGACTGCAAATATTCAGGTATTAATTGGTCATTAGCATTGTTTCTGCTGCAGGGTCTATTTGGCAAGTCTGAGAAGGTCAAGTGGCGTGGAACAATGGTCGTCAAAACCATAGTTGAGAACCAAATCTGCCATCCTGTCAAAATGTGCGTAAAAGCTTCAGTTTTTCTCATCTTCCTTGGACAGTTTCGTGAATTTATTTCTCTCTGAGGATGGAATTATGCAAGGGGACTGAATTTTCCTATTTCAAGAATGATACAGGAAATTATCAGCGAAGGACAACACTCTCTTACGAGAACTCAGGCACCCCAACATATTGCAGTTTCTTGGTTCAATTGTGCATGGAGAGGAAATGATTTTGATCACTGAATATTTACCAAAGGTATCATCAAACTTTATCACTCTACTTCTCAAATGACCCTCCCTCTGTGTTAAACTAATTTTCTTTTTTTGTGCATGAATCTTCATTTACTACTTGAAATTGTGATATCCCATCTCATTATCTGTTAGAATTCTGTTGTTTTCAATGTCTAGGAGGCTCAATGAACAAAATATTATGCAGACAGTTATAACAACTGAAGAATATTTAAGATCAAATATAGAACTCTCCTTTTAATTAGGGTTTGCATTGTACAGTGAAGATACTTTTGAGCAGACCAAGGCTTGAGCTCTTAGGAAGCTACTTCACTCATCAATCTTTCTTTCAACTGTCCACTCACCTTGCTGTTCCAAATGTGTTTCAGGGGAATCTTGAGGACATCGTGGAGGGGAAAGTAAGAATAGAACTGCACACTGCTTTGCAATATGCGCTGGACATAGCTAGGTGAATGAAGCTTTTCTCTCTCTCAATCTTTTTTCTCACTGGAAAATAAAATTCATTATTCTGATATTATTTCAGCTGCGCAAACCTTTTGATACATTAGATATCTTAGGATTCCACTCTTATTTACCCTTCTAAGTGGCTAGACTATTCAAATTCATGATGTTCAGTGAAAGCAAATGGTCTGAAACTAGTACTGTGAAGCTTTGGAATTTTAGCTGTCTTTTTGTTTGCGGTCGAATCTGATGGCCAACTTGTAATGTTTCTGTTTAGAAACTTTATCTTCTCTATGCAACATCATAACCGTGCTTATTTCTGAAACACAAAGCTAAAAACGTACATCATGTGCTCAAGAGTTCAAGACTTGCTTGATTGAGGACTCGGTTGAAGCAGCATAAGCATATATAGCTAGTAATTATGCTGATAAAACTGCAATTCAAGTGTGCTGCAAATTCACCGACTTAAGTTGCATCATTCAAAAAGTAAATTACACAACCACCATAATACATTTATCAATTTCCAAAGTAATTTGCAGGGGAATGAATTATCTCCACCAGCATAAACCCTTTCCTATAGTGCACAATCATCTCCATCCCAGGTAAGTATGTTTCTGGGCCAGGCACTGCATTTGCTGAAGTGATGTCAGGTATTGAAACTTAGGACACAGTTAAGATCAAGTCAATTCCTAGACTTTTTTTTCTATTACAACACTTATAGAGTGATGGTGGAGAACTTCTTTAAGAATAATTAGACAGAGCACAAGCTAAAGTGAAGTCTTAGCAGAAGTAATACAATATGTAGCATCACTGAATGCCCTGGCTTTGTACCTCATCAATTTTTAGAACCAAGAATTGTTTTGAAGTCATGTCCTGACCCTGTGTCAGTGTATCTCACCTATGCTTCCTCCCTTTGTATATAGAAACCTGTTACAGGACGAAGGGGGACACTTAAAGATTGGTGAATATTGGGTCCCAATGTTATATGAGAAAATACAACCTAATCAAGAAACCGGTATGTGACCAAGTATTTTTAGTTAAGTCAATATTAACTTTACCGCTCCTCTTATCAAGTCTTCTGCTTCACAGGTACAAGAAAGGATGGCTCTGGCCACAAAAGAAACCCATCGGGCGACATTAAGAAAGATATCCTTTTATTTGGTATCATAATTTATCAGGTCAGCAAACTGCATATGACAAGCGCAAATAGCTTGTAGCATAAGCAGAAAAAGTAGCTTTTCTTCCATAAATTTATCACCAACTACTTTTAAGCATCGGTGACTGACAAACATCATTTTGTTGTGTTTTCATAAATCTTGCCACTCTTTTTTTTCTCTTCTATTTCCCGCTAAGTCTGTCGCATTGTCTAAGCTTACAAGAGTTATTTCCTGTTGGGGATTATACGATTGGAGAGCAGATGTTAGAAGGAAGGCACCTGCCAAATAGTAAGAACTCTGATGCCATGCATATCGAGTATGCTGATTTCGAAGTGAAGTTCCAGATGAGCAAGTGTCCGAAAAGAATTCAACAGTAAGTGAAGCCAGTTATGCATATCGAGTTCTATACTGTCCAAGTACTTCATTTCGCTTTATGAGTTGCATATCGAGAAAACTTATATTTTGCAAATCAGAGTTAAGCACTTACATCTCTTGCTTCCGTGGTTAGACAGTGATTTTGACTGATTAGCGAGTCAATAGCATATAAAATATCCCAAAGAAGTTGCCGAAATAAAGTATCTTTGATTTTTCATTGCATCTCTCAAGATTTAGTATGCTTTCAGAGTATTTCATGATTAGGTCCAGCAAAGGCAAGTACACATTGAATGCAATGCAAACAGACTGGTTCACGAAAAGTAAAGCAACTTTGACCTCTAGGATAATCCGCATGCTTATACATCAAGGTGTTCTGCAACATCAATGTGGCCTACAAGCTGAGACGTTCATTATACTCATTTTCTTTAGTTTCGATTGCAGATTAATCGAGGAGTGCATAAGTAAGGATCCACATCAAAGGCCTGACTTCATAGCTGTGATCCAAACACTTGAAGAAGTTTCCTCGAGCCTCACGCGGCCCGCATGCGTCTGCTGAATTTGCAGATACACACCTAACATGTGGATGGTGGACATAGTAAGGGAAATGTTGTTTTCTGTTACTCTACCACGGCAGCGTGAACCAAAGAAAAAGACTTGGGTAAAAAATAATTGCAGAAATAAAACCTGAATACAGCAAATTTTGGCGGTGTGCCTAATTCACGGTGAGAGATCAATGAAATAGTTCTACTATGATTGGCGAGATGAAATTACAATCGTTCAATCACACTATTTCAGTCCTAGATTAAAACCAAATTCACAAGAACCAATCACAAGAAAGGAGTTTTCTCACTCTTAACCCTCTTGGGTGACCGGTAATGGTTCTCAGTGCTCTCTGTCTCTTGCAAGGTTTTACTCATAGTAAGCACACTCACTACGCACACCAGACATTTATGTGCAAAAAACTACGAGTTCGCTGACCTGGACATAGACTTCATCTTGAATAAGGAAAAGAAGTACAGTGGGAAATCAATTTCCCTTTTTGCATCACCCACGACTTTGTCAACCAGAGTCCAATTTAGACTTTCCTAATATGGGTCGGGTCTTCTTGCAATTCAATTGCGGATCAAATTTTCAAGTCAATGGAGATTAATTTCGAGCCACAATCAGTACTTTCTTTAACTAACAACTTAGCATGCTTTATAGACAACGATCCAGGCCGTCCTTTATCTGACTCTAGCTGAGGATTGCCTGATTCGAATGGTTAAGAAAAGAAAACTAAGTTTGTCAAGAAGGTTGGCAAGTCCTTGCCTAAAAGGTTCTTGTTGCCACATGCTAGACGATCATAAGTATCTATTACGTGGATCAACCATCCCAAATCTTAGCCAAACAAAGGTAAAATAGGAATGGGATGCCAATTCCTTTTAGAACCACACATGATGTAAACAGTTCAGGAAACACGAGGTTCGACTGTCCAATCAACGTGAAAAAGGATCCTCATCAAATACATCAGCAGATCCTCCAACCTATAAGAAGTTACTGCAGACAATGACTTAACAATCACAAACATTTGGTCCAGAAACGAACACAATCAGATATTCTCCTGGATTGAAGGCACTTTCGAACGAGCATTGCCGGGTGCATTTGTGGAGCCAGGTTACTGCACAATCTGTATGCCATGTCCTAATGAAAGGCACCCTCCCTTTCACGCAACTTGGATGACATTAGAGGCGCATAGGGATCTTCGGTTGGATCCACACGTGGAATGCGTGATCCTTCAGCTATGGGGCGACATATTAGATTATATCTAGAGTTTGAGCCGTGTAACGAAGTTCAATCCAAAGCCTGGCCATGTGTCATTTAAATTAGGAAAGTTCTGATTGGACTTATGGTTGACCTGACATTTGAAGTAACAATAAATCCTTGTTGGAGCTGGATGATTGAGTCGGCAAAAAAGTACGGAAATTGATTTCCACTTTGAAATCGATGAACAAAGAGTTTCCTAGTTTAATATAGGGTTAATACCACGAAAAATCCTAAACTGGAACATCTGGAACAAATTTACCCCAAACCGGTACATTCGTAACTAATTTTTTTACCACAAAAAACCCCAAACTTGTATATTTATGACAAATTTACCCTCTGTTAAATTAGATAATATCACGAAAAATCACAAACTATTACACATGAATTGAGGGTAAAATCTCGAACTGGTACACCCGTCAACTGCTATGTATCATTTAACTCAAAATTTGACAGTAAAATTTAACGTAAACTGACGAAGGATAAATTTGTCATGGATGTACCACTTTAGGGTTTTTAGTGGTCAAAAAATTAGTTTTGGGTAAATTTATCAGATGTATATCACTTTGAGGTTTTTCGTGGTATTAACCCTTTTTGTATATACAAGCTTGTTTTGGTGCCGAACATCCCACTGAGATCGCTTGTCTTATTGAAGGTGAAAGTTTGGAAGCTAAGAAGTAATTCTCCGTGATTTATTTTTTTGAGAAGTTATGTTAAGCTAAACACCGTGAATTTTGGTGTAATAGACTTGTAAGCACTTGAGTAAATGATTGTAACTCTGTGACTCTTTGATTGATCAGTGAATTCTTTGCGGCTGGCTCTTTCCGTGGAACAGCTATGATACCCAAATCGAACCATGTAAATCTTTTGCATTCTTTATCGCCTCTTTTTAATTTCTCTGATAATTTTGATCTCTTCTGTTAGAGTTGAGTTACATAGCTTCTTCGTTATTTAACAACATATTCATTTTAGTTGATTTTGCAATATGAAGACACATTTCATTGAAATCCCATCGTACAATATAATAGATTTGGTTTTGAATTTGGCTAACGCCGAAAAAGTCCTCTTCTTTCAAACAAAATAACGGGTGCTGAGTTGCTTTTCTTTACTTCCGAAGAGAAAAGAATAGTTTAGTGCTTTGAACGTTGTTTTTGTCCCAACACAAGCTGCCATCGGTCTCGTCATACGTGCACTGACCATGTTGATCATATAATCTTTCAGGGGACGATGATTAGTCAAACGCAACTTGGAGACAAACTCAGGAATAATGTAGTAGTTGCAAATTGCCTCTTCACTCACCCTTTTTTAAAACTGTTGCATCCAGGAGCAGACCTGAAACTGACCCGAAGAGCCATGGAAGAGGCGCCGGAGAGCGAGCACATAAAATGGGTGTTAACAAGAGACCTGTATGTGCAAGAACTGAAGAAGGCTACTCGCATAGCAGCTCCAATGGTGGTGGTTTCGGTGTTGCAGTACCTCGTGCAACTCGTGTCAGTGGTTGCAGTCGGACACCTTGGCCAACTCTCGCTATCCAGCGTTGCCATCGCCACTTCTCTGGCCAATGTCACCGGCTTCAGTCTCCTTGTAAGCCAATGCCATTGCTTAGTAACTTGGTCACATTCTTAAACAATAGAAATCTAAGTCGTATTGGATATTCCTAACAGTCAGGATTGGCTGGCGGACTCGAAACTCTATGCGGGCAAGCTTTCGGTGCCGGGCAATTCCAGAAACTCGGAGCTTATTTTTTCAGCGCCACCATGTCTCTCATTCTCGTTTGTCCTCCAGTTTGCATCCTCTGGATTTTCACGGACAAGCTCCTGGAACGAATGGGCCAAGATCCTGTAATCTCACTCGAAGCCCGTAAATACTTGATGTGGCTCATTCCTGCGCTGCTCGGGGGCGCGATCCTCAAGCCGCTCGTTCGGTTTCTCCAAACTCAAAGCCTGATACTTCCCATGCTCCTCAGCTCCTTCTTGGTCCTCTGTTTACACATACCCCTTTGCTGGATTCTTGTGTACAAATTGGAGCTAGGAAGCATGGGCGCAGCCTTGGCCTTCAGCATATCGACTTGGTTGAATGCAATGCTGCTCGGGTTCTACATCGTGTTCTCGTCAGCATGTGAGAAAACCCGTGCACGGTTCAATAAAAACGCCTTTCATGGAATCCTCGAGTTCTTCAGATACGGAATTCCTTCTGCTGTAATGATATGGTCAGTCTCTCTATGTCCCAGAAAAGAGAAACTTTCTTGCTGTTTCATCCTCTCTTCAATTGTTTCTCGATGCCTGTTCTTGCAGCCTAAAATGGTGGTCGTGTGAGCTGCTCCTGTTGTCATCTGGCTTTTTACCAAATCCAAAGCTCGAGACCTCGGTTCTCTCCATATGGTATGGTATAAAGCAGTTCAGCAATCATTTTTACACAAATCGGCAATCTTTCTGACTGTAATAATCTTAATGGTTCAGTCTTACGATCTCTACATTGCACTTCACTGTGCCATATGGTTTTGGAGCTGCTGCAAGGTAAAACTCGCGTTTCTCTCCATCCCTAGTAAGGTACAGTCACAAGAATGTTAGGTAAATTATGTTTCAAGTTTTCAATGGATTTGGTTTTCTGAGTTTTTGCAGTACTCGGGTCTCAAACGAACTCGGAGCAGGGAACCCGAACCGGGCAAGGGTGGTAGTTCTGGTAATATTGTCTCTAGCTATTATTGAAGCGGTCATTGTGGGAATTGTGCTCTTCTGCTGTCGTTATGTACTGGGATATGCTTACAGCAATGAGAACGAAGTGGTGCATTACATTGGAGTCATGACTCCTCTTATTTGTCTCTCCATTTTCATGGACAGTATACAGGCAGTCCTATCTGGTCAGCTCTTACATATCTCTATTCCTTCCATTTTCCTTCTTTCCTCCTTTGAGAAACCGTACTCGTTACATCTCGGGGACATTCTCTCAGATATTTGTCCTCCTTGAATGTGGTTCGACCCTCTCTACAGATTAAGAACTTCAATTTTTTGACCACCAGTTGAATTGATTTGATCATGTTTGATGAATCAGGAGTAGCCAGGGGAAGTGGATGGCAGCGCATAGGAGCATACGTAAACATCGGGGCGTTCTATTTGATAGGACTCCCAATTGGACTAATTCTCGGTTTTGTCCTGCATCTACGAGCGAAGGGGCTTTGGATCGGTGTCATATCAGGAACCGCCGTGCAATCGGCCCTCCTCTCTCTCATTACTGGAGCCACAAATTGGCAAAAGCAGGTGCTTGCTCAAAAAGCTCCTGTAGATGGCACGTTGTTAGATTTTGAAGTCTGCACATCGACATGACATATAAACGAAAAACCCACTTCCACTTTCAACAACACCTTTTGAGCACCCCCTTTTAGGAACAGCCTACCTGAATCCGGTCAGGGATCATAATGTCTCTCGATCTAAAGTTCAATTGGGAGGAAGAAATTGCGCAGCAACACAAGTTTAATATGTCCTCGTTTAACATGCCGTGAACTTATGTTGCAGGTGAACGAGGTCAGGAAGAGGATATTTGCACAAAATCCTCACCAAGAGCAATGTGACCAGAGGACTAGGATTATATCTGCAAGATAAATTGCGAATTTCACTTGCTGCGTTTCCCATCAATTGTTAACAGGGAATAGTTAGTATTATTAATCAGATGCGCTTACTTTCCGTGGAATTCATACAGTTGGTGTAATTTTGAGTTGATTCCGTGTGTATGTGCAGTAATACCATGGATAGTGTTGTCATTACATTGCGACCCTACTTGCACAGTTGTGACTACTGTATCTGTACGTACTTGATTCTGATTGTGTCCTTATACGTATGAGTACACGATAAATGGATGAATGATCAGAAATCGATTTGCAAGAGCAGGGGAGATTTAGATCAGGGTCATGAACACGTGGGGGCAAGCTAGCACATGCAATGCCATCCTAATTTCATGGAGTTCACATAGGCAAAGGAAAGATCGTGAAGTATTTGAACTATCACGAGGGACCACAACAGATGATCCTCGATCATGAATCATAGAATTATCACGATGGTCCATAGTTCTTTAAATTGGAGGATGGTTTTGATTAGAAGCAATACCTAACAAGAGATCCATGTATAGATGAAAGACCATGACAACTGTAACATGAATTTTTCGTTTCCATATTATCAAAGACGATGAACATAGTGATAGAGGACAAAGACAACATGCGTTACTAATAACACATCCAGATATGAGGCAAGGCTCTTCTAGGCCATCCTACACAGTTTTGAGTTCTCTCTCCCCCGCACCATTCTCCTCCATATGCATCATACCATATAGAAAAAATCTGGGATATTGCCTACAGTGCCTTGATCATGAAGATTTTGCGAGAAAAGGGCATTGCAATCCCAGTGAGCTCAAGACCAAGAAGATGCAGACTTTGGAGATAGGGAAATGGACCTGAGGAAGATGAATCTTAGGCCAACCCCTGCTGGTTGGATAGATCTAAAAGGTGAAGCTGTGAAGATTGCAGAGAAGGATGATCTTGAACATGCGTGCAACATACATGCAAACCATGTCCTTTCAAAACTTGATTGCATGCATATTGCATGTGTATTCAAGATTATCACAAACATCATTTTAGGTCTAGGCCCGGTTCGGGGTTCCCTCCTCCGAGTTCGTTTGATACCCGAGTACTGCAAAAGCGCAAAACCCCATGTCCTTTCAAAACTTGAAACATAATTTGCATTACATTCTTGTGACAGCACATTGGAAGGGAACAAGGGAAACACGAGTTTTACCTGGCAGCGGCTCCTTGATATAGCTAGCAAGGATCACCTAGAGGGGGGTGAATAGGTGATCTAAAACAATTTTAATAATTTATGCGGAAACAAAATAAACCACAGAAGAGTCTGAATAAAATTCAGATTCAAGACAGATTATATAGACGGTGCTCTGGATGTGTAGAATGTAAAGTAAGAGATAAGGGATAGAGAATCTGCACACAAGTTTATAGTGGTTCGGCTTATAGCAAGCCTACGTCCACTCTCCCACGCTTACAGCCTACCGGCTGGATTTCACTATGTAATCAAGAGGAATTACAACTTCTGAGTGTCAACACTCTTGTGTATGATAGGACTCTCTATCTCACACAATCACTCTTACAAAGTGTCCCTCAAGATCTTAATGTTTTGCTCAGAACGACAAGAGAAATGATTGGAGTATGCTCAGACTTTGGACTTGTTGATTCTTGATTCTATTCTTCCTTCTGCTGCTCGTTGATTTCTTTAAATACTCCTCTACTTCCAAACTAGCTGTTGGACAGCTTTCAGAGGATCATCTTCCAATCTTCACCTTGGACAGATTTGTATAGAAAGGATTGAGTAGCCGTTGGATGACAGATTCTGAATCCCGCTGATTCTGGCCGCCCATACAATCAGAATCTTGGTTTCCATAAGTAGAGCTTTGTCCGTTGTAATGCATTCCTTTCGTGATGTTTGATTGTCAATCAATTTGATTTAGATTGAGACAATCAGAACATTCCTTCTGTGAAATCCATGCCAGATCACTAGCTGTTGTGTTACGTTCTGAATTCTGCCGTCTGAAGAAATTCTGCGTCTGCATCTGAGGAGCTTCTGCTTCTGCGTCTGAAGAATTTCTGCATCTGAATAATTTCTTCGTCTGCATCTGCATCTGAATAACTTCTGAGTTTGAATTTCAGAACTTTGATTATGTGGGTCTTCATAATCATACTTGACAGATTGTAAAGTCTGAATAACTTTCTTCTCAGCTTCCAGAATATACAGTCCTGGAATAAAATTGTTCAGAATAAGTATCAGACTTTCAATAACATAGAAGGTTTTGTCATCTTCAAAATTAATAGAAGTTTTCCTCAACAATCTCCCCCTTTTTTATGGTGACAAAACTTTCTTGCAGTTTGAATTATTTTGAAAATAAATAAATATATTAAGCTCATGAAACACAAATTGAAAGATCAAACTCTGTTGATATCTATGTCTTTCTTCCTTTGAATATAACATGTGAATCTGCAAAACCTGCATATAATTTCTCCCCCTTTTTGTCATCAACAAAAAGAATAATAATAGATAGAATAATGCACTGAGATTAAGTAATCAACCAGTCTAACAAAAGTATGAGATATATTACAGACCAATGGAAAAAAATGTGGATAGAAAAGTTGAAAAACATGCTATTTTTTAGGAGTACGAATCAGTTGAAAATTTTCCAATATTGATACAGCCTCCTCAATCTTTGAACTGCATTGACTTATGGCCTTATCCATGTTGGATGAGCACATAGTAATGGCTTCCTCTAATGCTGCTTTATCTGCTGCTGACTGAAGTTGTTGAGCCTTAGTGTTTTCCTCAACAATGTTCTGTAGATTCTGCATATGTTGTTCTAGAGCAGCTTGCTTGTCTTTAATCTCAAGCAGAATAGAAAGGATGTTCTGATTTTCGGATGGCTGACCTTGGACATTAGCTTCCTCAGACTGATTGTACTCTGTGGCTGATTCTGGCAGAATCTCCCCCTGAACAGGTGATGGATCTTCAGAAACATGTTCTGCATGAATGGATTCTGAAACCTTGGGATCTGGTTCAGGAACATGTTTCGAGCCTCCCTGTTTCAAAGTGATCAGCTTCTGCTTCATCATTTTCATCTTGCAGAAGAATTTTACGCTTTTTGCTGTACACTTTTATTGGGGTAGGAGAATCAGGCTGCTTGCTGGCTGAACTTGTTCTTTTCCTTTGCTCATTTGCTTTCTGAACTTTCTTGCCAACAGATTTTGCCTCTGACTTTTCAGCCTCTTTTCCTTTTACTCTTTCCCTTATATCCTCGCAGTTCTTCATTTTGGGGAGCATTCGTTCTCCAACAAACATAACAGGTAGCATGGTTTCTCGTAACTCATCAGGAATAGATATATTGAGATACATGAAGATACGAGTGATTAAAGCTCCATATGGCAGATGACCCTTATCCTTCTGTAGTGCCCTGTACATATGGAATATGATGAGGTGAGGGAGAGAGAAAGATTGACTTGTCAAGATAGCCCAAATAAGCTTGATCTCTGATTTTGATAGGTCAGTTTTTGAGGCATCTTTTGGCTTCAAACAGTTTGTTATGATCTTATACAAGATCACAGATCGTCTTGATAAGTCAGAATAGGAGAGATGACGCTTTGATCCTTGAGCAAAATTCGGATTTTCAGAAGCCACCTGAGAAGCCTTTTCAAGATTTATTGCCAATGGAGTAAAAGTGGAGTGTGTGGCTCCAATTATCCTTGCCAACTCATGCGCTTTTAAATCAACCTTCTTGTCACCAACAGTAAACTGAATCCAATTTGGTGACAGTATTGAAAGATTGGAATAAAAGTAGGCAGTTAATTCAGCATAAGTATGGGCAGATTGAAGACAAAATTCATAAATCCCTAACTTCTCAAACAGGTGCTGTACAGAAATGCCAGCCTTCTTCAGATATTCGAAATCCACAGTTCTATTGTTCATTACTCCTCTAGTAAGTAACAACTTGTAGTACATATGATGCGCAGTGCTTCTGAACAAGCTTCCTGTTCCAGGCAAACTAGATGCTATGCCCACCTTTATATCAAAAGTCTCAAAAAATCGTGCATCATTATCAGGAATGACAAATTTTGAAGCACTAGTGGATTTAGGGCTTACATGAACCGATTTCTTTTCAGAAGGAGTTGAGGCTTCTCCAACTTTTTCTTTGCCCTTTCGTGAGGAAGTCTCTTGTGGGGTAGAACGGGTTGGAACTTGTCCAGATTGAGTACAGTAATCAGTATAGGTTTTCACAATGTGAGTTTCAGAGCGAAGATTGTTGTCTTTCAGACAAGCACGAAGAGCCGACTCAGAGGCATTGAACCTTTTCAACCTTTGATAATGTTCCCACACATGTTTAATGCTTCTGAACCGAAAATCAGTTTTACCAGACGATTTTGGAGGAGACGATCGCTGAGGTGTTGACGCTTCAGAAGGATCTGCAGGATGATCGGATTCTGAGTCCGAAACTTCCAGATATTCTGCCGATGCAGTAGGTTTCGAGTCTTGATTAAGAATACGAGAAGATCTTCTACGGGCCACCATCTTGACCGGCATTATGATCACCTTTGGAGACGAAAGTTTCGATCTTTGGAGGAAGAGGAGGAGAGTCTCTGAATATCGGAAGGGTTTTGAGAGTGAAAAAGGTCGTACTGATAGAGTTTTGAAAAGAGAAGAACGGGTTTAAAAAGGAGGTGGATAATTTTTGGAAGGAAAAGTTACTTTTAGAAAATAAAAAGATATCCCAAGCAAGTAGGAAGAGAATATACTTGAAGCTTAACCAAACAGGATGATATCATAACAATATATGAAGCACAATTTATCAGATGAATTAGAATACATACCTGATTTGCTTCCAAAAGTAACGATTATAAAAATATCCTGCCAGACATGCCAAATATATACCCGCCAAAATTTGAATAAGGAACGTACCTTTCTTTGTGAGTCTGAAAAATGTTCAGACTGAGAATACTTGAGTCTGAAAAATTCCTGTCTATCAAACACTTCAAGAAAATGGATAAGTGATGCACAGTTTGTCT